ATAAATAAGATATTTTTAATGAATATTATTCAGCCATGAGAAAGAAGAAAATTCTGCCATTTGTGACAACATGGATAAACTTCAAGGGCATGATGTTAAGTGAAATAAGCCAAAGATGAATACTGCATAGTATCACTTATATATGGAATCTTTTTTAAAAAAGTCACACTCACAGAAACAGAGTAGAAAAGTGGTTGCCAGGGACTGGGGGTGGAGGAAATAGAAAGAGGTTGATAAAATGGTACAAACTTTCAACTATAAGATAAATAAGGTCTGAGGATCTAAGGTAAAACATGGTGACTATAGGTGATAATGCTGTATTGTATAACTGAAATTTTCTAAGAGAGTAGAACGTAAATGTTCTCACAAAAAAAGATTAATATGTGAGGTGATAGATGTGTTAATATATTAGACGGGGGAAATCCTTTAACAATGCATTCATATATAAAATAACCAAAATGTATACTTTAAATATCTTACAATTTTATGTCAATTATACCTCAATAAAACTGAAATGACTAATTAGTATTTCTTAAAGAGAAATACTAGGCCTGTGGTCACTCTAATAGTAAGTTTTTAAGGTGGATAAAGGATTTACTGATAAATAAAAGACAAAGTAGCAAAACAGTGGGTATTTATATCCCCTTTTGTAAAAAAATAAAATAAAATAAAATATTAGTATCTATATTGATTAAATATCAGGGCTGGTTGGAGAGCTACACCAAAGGATTAAAATGATGATTTTCTCTGAGGTAGAGGATTACAAGGGTCTTCCATGTTATGCTTCTAAACATATAATCTGAATTTTCTATAATGAAATTCTATAATAAATCTATATGATATGCATTTTCTAAAGTGAACACGCATTAGTTACATAAATTCCAAAACAAAGAAATTCTTTAAACAGGATTCTCAGTTTACAGCACACATTCAGCACAGCCCGATTCAGCAGCACTCGCTGGACCCGATGACGGGCCAGCCTCCGGGGCGCGGAGAGGCAGCTCCCACGTAGGAGCAGAGCAGAGGAAGTGCGGGCAGGGAGCCCACCTGATGTGTGACCTTGGCAAAATCCCCTACCTTCTCTGAGCCTTGTTCTTCTCTTTAAAACAAAGATGTGATAGTGATTACGAGATGGAAATGAAGAAACAGATGTGAGGTCTGGGCATGGGGTCGTCCCTGGGTGGCATCTCACACGGTCCTTGAGCAGCCCCGCAGGGTGGGTACTGTGAGAGTCTCCTTTTTATAGAAGAGGAAACTGAGGCCCCAAGAGACGGGCCGGAAAGTCCAGATCACACTAAGAGTAATGGCGGAGTCAAGGTGCAGATCCTAAGTCCCAGGTCAGAGCCCCCACCCCAGTCCTGTCTGCTGTCCCACTGTCCATTCTGTCCTGCTGTCCAGATAGGTGGTATCACTGTCTAGAGTTGACAATCACCTTTATGTCTCCTGTGATTGTTTGCCTCTCCCACTACAACGTCAGCTCCCCGAGGGCAGGGGCTTTGTTTGGTTTGCTGTCATATCCCAGTAACCAGAACTGTGCCTGGCACTGAGCAGGTACCATGTGACTACTTATTGAGTAAATTGGTGGAAAAAAAATGAAAGGATTCCCTAGAGAAGAACCAAAGAAAGTGACCCTGAGGCCCAAGGTCACAGGGCTGAGCAGGACCTAGGTCACATCCCTCATTCCCACTGAGCCCTGCCTCTCCCAAATTCAACAGCCTTAGTTTGTCGACAACTCCTTAGTTGCCTGAGGCCCAGGAATAAATTAGCCTGGTGCAGGGAAGGATCAGGACAAAAGGGAAGATGGTTCATCCACTTCTGGCTGCATTTCTGCCAGAAGTGCTATTTGTGCCTCAGTTTCTCAGACTAGAAGATAAACACCAGACACCACATTGACATGAGGTGGAGGATTCAGGAAGAACAAGCAGAGTTGGCCCTTCCTGCCTCTTTCTTCCCTCAAGAGGGGCTGGGCCAGCCCAATAAAGCCACGGGATCAGAGCTGGGAGGACCTTGTTTTTCTGACACCATCACTGACTCTTAGACTGGACGGGAAAACAGAGACCCAAAGCAGAGAAGGAGCCTGACTTGGGACATGGAGGACAAGAACCTAGGTGTTGCTCCAGCTCAGAGCGGTCCCTCCCTGAGCCCGGGCAACACTAAGGGCAGGCTCTATTGGCTCTACATGGATCTCTGCCCCTGTTACTGTATTCTGGCTATAGGAAGACAAGATTCTACAAGGCTGCGAAGGGCAGGCAGGCCCAGCAGGGCCCCCAGGTCTGGCCACAGTGGCCTAACCCATGGTCCAGAGACCAAGGAGAGGCCCCTGGCCACTGGGTCCCCTAGGCTGCCACTGGTGGTCAAGGGCCTGGCCGGCAGCAGACCTGACTTCTCAGGAGCCAGATGAGGCCGGTAAGAGAGGTGGAGCAGGAGGCTACAAGTGCGGGAGACTGGGCGTGGGCGCTGAAGAGTCAGGGGCCTGGGGCCTGGGCCTCCAAATGAGGAAAGAGTCCAGCTAGGTGTCTGATCCCTCGCATCAGCCTAGGTAATTACCAGTTAAAACCACTCTCACTGAGATTTCTACTAGTACAATTAGTAAGTCAGAATAAAGAAAGCTCTTCTTACAGCTGGCTGGGCCCTCCCACAACTGGGCTTCCACTGAACAAGGACCAGCGTGTCGATCCCACGGGCCTTAGATCTTAATGAAACATGCAGAGATGGTGGGGGAAGAAGCTGGGGTTGGAAACCACTGCCTGGATGAGGTCATGTACTTGCTGCGTGGCCCTGGGCTGGCCATTCAACCTCTCTGAGCCCATGAAATGAGGCTGGATGAAATGAGGACTTTACAAAGCTATGGAACTTCAAGTGCTAGTTTTTATTCTAAAAATAGGTGGAGACACCTTTGGTTGGCTTTTAAAATCTGTTTCTGGGTTTTATGTGTATATACGACACATGTGGACATTCCCGTCACATCCATACCAGGGCTGGGCAGCAGCTGGGAGGAACCAGGGTCTGCAGTGACGAGACCCAGGGTCGCCCTAGGGGAGGGGGCTGACTTTCTGCTCCTCCCATGTATCAGTCAATCACACAACAGCTCTGAGGATGCGCTGATCACCAGGAGCCCCATTTTACAAGGAGGGACCTGAGGCTCAGACAGAGGAGGGACTTGCCTAAGATCGCACAGCAGAGTCAGGAGGAGAACCGGGTCTTCCTGAGCTCAGGGCACTGCTGGATTCGCAGCAGCAGCTCCCGCTAGGGCTGTGCACGCCTTGACCCAGGGGATGCTGGGGGAAGCAGGACATGGGCTGGGCGGTGACTCACTCTAACAGATGGCTCCCTTGGGGGCATTTTCCGGGTGACTCCATCCACAGCTCTTCTTGGTCCTGAGCCCTGGGTCAGCTTGTCCCAAGGACAGAACTCCAGTCTCAATTCCTCATACTCTCTGTCCCTGGTCCCCACCCTGCCCTCTGCCCAGGCAGGCAGCACCCAGGACCCAGCGACCCAAGTCCTGTGCCTGGCATTGGGCTCGCAGCAGAGGCTAACCGCTGCCTCCTGCTGCTCCTCCCCACCTCAGCCCACCATCAGTTCTGGGTTGAGAGGGACAGAGGCCTCTTTGGCTGTCCCCTCCTCCCGCCCTCGCGTAGGCAGCAAATGGCTGTGACCGCACACTACCTGCTGCTGCTCCAACGCCTGGGTTCCTCTGCCTGAACCCTTCTGAAGGCTCCCTCCACCCTGAAAGCCTGCCCTCCTGCCAGCGGAAATGTCCTTGAGAACCAGATGTAGGGCCTACAACCTGGGCCTGTCCTGTCTTGGCCACAGAGGCTGAGCTATCCTGGGTGTGACATTGCCTCTCCCAGCCTCACTGTCCTCATCTGGGAGATGCAGGTGAACATCTTGGCAGTTAGCTCGGTTGCTTGGGGAATTAGGAGTGATGCTGTAGGTGAAGAGAGGCTGGCAGCCTCGACAAGGATTCTGTCTGGCTCTCAGTCCCTCAGCTCTCCCCACCTCAAGCTGAGCCATAACCCATGGGTCCCCAGGTCCAGTCTGGCATCTGCCTGAGCCCACATCCCTGTCCCTCCCTTGCCACAAACAGGAGACAGAGCAGATGGGGGACAAATATGCATGACTGTAGATGAAAGAGAGTTTAGGTAATGGAAAAAAGAGATCTTTGAGAGCTTAACAATAAATGGCTCCAAGATTTGGCAGCAGAGAGGAAAAGCTGGGCTTTGCCTGGGAAAACAATGAGGGTCCAAACTGCCCATCCAGCCATTCCATAGACCTGGACACTCACTGCATGCCAAGCCATGTCCCAGGTGCTGGGCGTGGGCGGCAAGACCACAGACTGCCCCACTGAGCTGAGCCGACTCCTTCCCCACCCAGATCCCCTGACAGCCACACCCCCACCTACAGGTTCCACAGCTCTGCCCCAGGGAAGAGGCTGCTGTGGACGCCGAACATCTGGGTTTTCCTCTGAGGCTGCGATCATTTTGGTGATGTGACCAGGTTTCCCACAATGAACTTTGTCCCTCTCCTCAGAGCTGCCCTTATCACAGTGACAGCATCACAGCCTCTGTTTACTCATCTGTCTCCCCAGGACCAGACTGTCTTCCTGGCACTGCCCAGGTCCACCTGACATTACATGATTCCTACTCTTGGGTGTGTTTGGAGGCGGGGTGACTGTACACGCCCCTGGGACTCACATTCCTGCGTCTGCCCCGCCCGACCCACACACAGCTCACCGACCCACACACCCCTTAGACCTGGCCAGCCTAACCTGGGCATTTCCCACCCTCTTGTGAGGCCCTGTTCATCACACGGTGACTCCTGGTTCACTGCCAGGGGCACCCACTGTCCAAGGTTGTGCACTCTCCTGCAGCCCATGTTCCTTCCCAAGGAGCCACCGTGGGGGCGCCCGGACACTCGGCTCGCCGTCCCCACATGCGCATTCTCGCGGAGGTCGCACTGTCACTGAGTCACCGACGCCCATGCCCGGAGCCCGCACTCACCCATGTTGACGAAGCTCATGACCAGGTCCGCGCGGCCCAGGCCCCGCTCTCGGGGGCCGCCGTCCTCGTCGTCGTCGCCGGCCATGGCGTGGTAGAGGTCCAACATGAAGAGCGGCGCGGACGCGGGCAGCCGGGCGGCGGCGGGCGGCGCGCGGGGCCGGGGTCTCCCGGGCAGCCCGAGCACCGCCAGGATCTCGCGCTGCAGGTCGCGGCGCTCGCGCGGACCCAGGCGGCGCTGAGGGCAGCCGGCTGGGGGACGCGGGCCGGGGCCTCCGCCGCTGAGAGCGCACAGCGCCAGGCCCAGGAGCCACAGCGGCCCGGGACGCGCGGCCATGGCGGGAGGGACCGGGCGGGCGCTCACTCGGCGCGCATCCGCTTCGCCACTGGCCCAGAGCCGGGGGATGCCCGACGGAGGGTGGCGGGCCCGACCGGGGGCCGGCGGGACGGGGCGGGAGTTGGCCGCGGCTTCAGCGCCGTCGCTGGAGAGCCCCGCGCGCGCGGCACCTGTCGCGGCTCTGGGTCGGGCGGCTTTGGCTGCCAACACCTGGGGCAGAGGCTACTCCAGGGACTGCGCGCCGTCGGCCAATTTCTCTGTCGCCGCTGTGCCGTCCGATCTGGCTACTGCGGAGGCCCGCTTAGTGCAGGCGCTCAGGGAAGTGGGGAACCACGAGCTCCTGCCCAGCGAACCCGCGCGGTCTCTGCCCCGCGTCCCCACGGCTGCCGCCTTGGGTCCGGTGCCCAGCCTCCGAGTCCCGCCCCCTCAGGCCCTGACCAATGGGGCGCAGGGGCGGGGCCAATGCCGCAGAGCCCATCTGCCTGCGAAGAGCTCTGAGTTGTAATTGATGTCGTGGGTGGTGGCGCCCGGGAGATTCGACCTGCTAGTGGGTGGTGGGCGGATCTGACAGGGGGTCCACAGACCAGCTGACAGTGTCGTCAGGGTCCGCCTGGGCTGCCCTCGCAGCTGCTGGCCGCCCTGTCCGGCGAGTTCAGGGGCTTCAGAGTAGCGGCCGTGCCAGGAGAAAACTGGAACCTGCGCTCCCGCTGGGCGTGTCCTTGAGCGCCCCGGCCGGGCGGGAATCCCGAATCTTGGTCTGGCCAGAGAGTGACCCGGCCGCCCCGCTTTGGTGTGCTGTGTCCCCCCAGGACCCGAAACAAGGCCTCAGTTCCGTCTGGAAGGGATCCTTGGGTGCCAGCCAGGATCGGAGAGTGGGCGCCTTCTTCTGCCAGCACAGCCTGTCCCAGGTTCCCCGCCACCTCAGCTCCTAGCCGGCCACCCGACGCCCTTCCCTCTGTCAGTTTGCGTATATTGCTGAGCGCTTCTCTCTTCCTGATCCCAGCTCAGCCTCTGCTCCCAGTGCCCCCACCAACGCCCCAGAAGGGCTGCCTCTGCTGTTCCAGGGCCTGCGTGATCACCGCCAGCTGCCGCTGTGTCCCCTGCGAACCCTGTGCTGATCCAGCCATGGACGGGAGACGCGCACCCGCCTGCAGCCCAGCCAAGGAAGCTCTGGGGCCCTTTCTGAGCGCTGGGGAACGCTTTGCGCTTCCGTATTGTGAAGGCCCTCGGCGTCTTCTTCCACCCTTGGCAACACTAGGTATTATTGTTAAATACATAAATAAACAAATCTCTGCCAATATGACAGGTAAAAACAGCTCTCTGCTGTTGTAATGTGCACATGGAGGGGTTACTAACTGCTCTCTTCTCCTTGAAACACTCCCCCTCTTGGGTCCCTGCTTTTCCTTCTTCCCCCTTCCCGACCAGTTCCTCAACACTGACTGATATCCCCACGGGTTCTGTCCGAGGTCCTGTTCTCCCTCTTAGGCTTTCAGCCTGGTGATGCACTCATCCACCTGAGAGACTTCCGTGCCATTATAGGTCATTCCTAAATCCAAAATACATCCCAGCACAGACTCTACTCCTGGAGGTCTGAAGTTATATCCAATCACTGATTAGACATGATCAAAGCCAGGTCCTCTCCCTCGTGATGGCAGTTTGGCGTACCATTCTACCTTCTAATGCTTCATAAATTCCTGAGCCTTTCCACACCCTCCTACTGTGTGTGGTTCACGTGGCATCTTCTCCACCCAGGTTGGCTGTAACAGGCTTCCAGCTGGTCTCCTCCATTCTCATCTTGTTCCTTACCCCTTCCTCACTCATTCCCCAGCCTGTATTTCTGAATAAAAATCTGCTATCCCTGGCCTTTCACTGCTAACAGCAGACTTCTCCAAACTGAGATTTTTGAGGGGTTTCCTACAAAAAGGAGTTCAGTAAATACTGTTTGCTGCATTTCCTCTGGGAGAGCCCTAATGCAATCAGCATTTTGTAAGTTTTGAAAAGCCCTGCAATAAAGAAACATGCTTAACTTTTAACGCAATGTCTTCCAAATGCATTTGACCATGCCTGTCGAGGTTTTCTGAAGATCCCATCTTGGAAACCAGGAAACTGCTATGTGACTGAGTGCCCAGTACTCTGTGTTCTGGCATCTGCCACCTGGTCCCTGCAGCTGACCCCTCTTCGCAGTCGTCTCCAGCCACTAAAGGTGTATATACATTTTACTTTAGTCACATAGGACCACCTGGGGCCCCTCGTCTGTCCTGCTGTTGACATTTCTGTTCATTAGCCCATGTGGTTTCCTTTACCAAGAACGTCCAGATTCCCTTTGCACACCTGGTCCATTATTATTCTCCATAAGATGCAGCTGAAGCAACAACTTGTCTTCCCGATGCCATCTCCACCTTCACGGGTAATTAGATCTCTCCCCCTCCCAACTCACTCATGTTATCAAACTAAAGGACATTTATTTGTTCACATGTTTGCTCCCTCCATTTCCTCTCTCCACTGGATCAGTCTCCAGGCAGAGAATGATCTTTGGATCCCAGTGTCAGACTCATCTTTAGGGTCTCCATAAATATTTGCTGCCTTTACTAGTCTCTGAGAAAGGAGTAGCCTCCAACCTTCATGAATCCTTCCGTTAAGAATTGTTCATCCCTGACTCAGTTGGTTGGGCGTCGTCCTGAAAAGCTAAAGGTCACAGATTCGCTTCTCAGTCAGGACACAGGCCTGGGCCTGAGGGCTCGGTCTCCCGTTATCAGGGCGCTTATGAAAGGCAACAAACAGATCGATATTTTTCTCCCTCTTTTTCTCCTTCCCTTCCCCTCTCTTTATAAATAAATAAATAAAATCTTTTAAAAAATTGTTCATTAGTGCATGAGAGGCAGCGAACTGAAGCACGAAGCTGTGTTGGACTGTGGGGGACCCAGGGCCAGCCGGTCTCAGTCTCTAATTATCCGGCTGGGTTTCTTGCACAGCAGCCACAAGTTCAAATCCATGAATTTTCATTACTGAAACTACAAGATTAAATTCATGATCTCCAAGACCTAACTCTATATAAAATATAAAAATGAAAGAGCAATTTATAAAAGTAGAGAACAGTTTTCCATAAGAAAGATTCTACAGAAATGGAGATTATCCAGTGTTAGCATTGACACCTTCATCCTTTCATTTGTGATCTGAGGACCTGTTTAGTCCCATCACAGGGACCTGTCCTGAGCTCCTTATGCCGTGACTGTGTCAGACCCAGAAGCCACGACAGAGTAGATGCACAATAATGCCTCCTTAAATGACTGCTGAGGGACCTAAAAGGTGACTCACTCACTTCCCTGACTGGCTGTATCTAAGATGTTGGGAAAATCCAGCCCATCATGTTCCCAAGGTGTATTTACGTGGCAAGAAGAAACAAATAAATATAATGAGATGTTTCTGTCTTCATCGGGTATCTCCAGGCAATGGGTCAGGTCAGCTCCTATTAAAGAACTAAATGCTCCAATTAAAAGTCAGAGATTGTCAGATGAGTTGGGGGTCGGGGCAAGAAAGCAAGAATAAATAATGAGTTTTCTGTAAGAGATGCACTGTAAATATAAAAATACAAGTTGACAGTAAATGGATGGAAAAAAGACATATCATGAAAATAAAAGAGTAAGAAGGCTGGGGTAGCTATAGTAATATCAGATAAATTATTCTTCAAGATAAAGGACGCTATAAACAGAGTAAGAAGACAACCCGTAGAATGGGAGAAAATATTCACAAATCATATATCCGGTGATGTCTAGAATATATAAAGAACTCCTACAACTCAACAACAATAAAACAAACAACCTATTTGCCCTGGTCTGTGTGGCTCAGTTGGTTGGGGCGTCACCCTGCAAACTGAAAGGTCACTGGGTTCGACTCCTGGGTGAGGCCTGCACTGCAGGTTCGTCCCAGGTTGGGGCCCGTCTGGAAGGCAACCAATGGATGTTCCTCCCTCACATTGCTGCTTCCCTTCCTCGCTCATTCTTCCCCCTTCCCTCTCTCTAAAGTCAAAAATAAAAATTTAAAGAAAACAACCAATTTAGATATAAGTAAAGGACTTAAATAGACATTTCTCCAAAGAATATGTATGGATAGCCAATAAGCACATGAAAAGGTGCTCAACATTACAAATCATTAGAGAAATGAAAATCAAAACCACGATGAGATACCACTTTATATCCATTAGGATGATCATTATTTAAAAAAAAAGAAAAAAGAAAAAGAAAAAAAAACCCCAGAAAATAGGAAGGACTGGTGAGGATGTGGAGAAATTGGAACCCTTGCGCCTTGCCAGCAGGGTATGTAAAAATGGTGCAACTGCTATAGGAAACAGTATGGTGACTCCTCAAAAAGTTAAACCTAGAATTACCGTAGTGATCCAGCAGTTCCACTCCTGGGTATATATCCAAACTAATTGAAAGCAGGGAGTTGCATAGATATCTGTATACCAATAGTCCTAGCAGCATTATTCACAATAGCCAAAAGGTGAAAATAATCCAAATATCCATCACAGCTGAATGAATAAGCAAAATGTGGGATATTCATACTATGGAATATTATTCAGCCCTAAAAAGGAAGGAAATTCTGACACATACTACAACATTGATGAACATTTGAAGATGTGCTAAGTTCAAGAAACTGACACAAAAGGACAAATATTGTAAGATTCCACTTTTATGAAATACCTAAAGTAGTAGAATTCAGAGACAGGCAGGAGGATGGCAGTTGCCAGGGGCTGGAGGAGCCAGTAAAGAGAAGTTATTGTTTAGTGGGTACAGAGTTTCAGTTTGGGATGATGAAAAGAGTTACGGAGATAGATGGTAATGGCTGTTGCACAATGTTGTGAATGTACTTAATGCTACTGAATTGTACATCAAAAAATGTTTAAAATGGTAATTTTTGTTATGTCTATTTCACCACAATAAAAAAGTGACCAAGAGTAATATCTAGGCATTTTTACTCAAACCAAATTCTAGATTGAAATA